TTTCCTTTAAAGTCAGTGTGTTTGTATACAGTGTTTGAGCGCAGTCCTTTATTTTGAAGATTTGGACCGGAAACACAGGTTAATTGCGTTTAGCTGGACTGGTGGGCAAATTTCTGTGGACCTGAGGCAGGATTAAGTGAGGCTCTCAGTCAACGACCGTTTGGAAACCTGCGTTCACTCTGGTAAGTCTCTGTCAGAGTCTCTTTCTTCGGTAGTTTGTATTCAGACGTCTCAGCTCGATAAAGAAGCACAAAGCTAAACTGAGCAGGCTTAGACTGTGAAAAAAAGAAAGAAACTAAGTTTGGCTGCAGCACGCCGAGTTCCCATGCTGCCGAGCTGATAGTTGCAGATTTTGGAGGAATGTGAACAGGAATCAACCTGTTAACTTGTGAAAAGTTTTACGCAAGCAAAGAAAGATTTCTTTGAAAGTGATTCGAGGCAGCAGGAAAAATGTGCATCTGGTAAAAACATTTTTCTTAAACTTTTGTGTACTCCGTTAAAAACAAGCAAAAATGAAACATTTATGTACGTAAATCAAGTTGCATTTAAATACTGAACACCTGTGTTTTTGCATGGGTTAAATATTAATAACTGAATATAGCATATAAGCTGTGAGCTGATTGGGAGTTTGTTTGAATGTATTGTGGATGTGAGAACAAGATCATCTTCTCCCATAAAAATTCACCAGCAGTTTACTCTTAATGCATTCCCAACATAGTTCAGATACACAGGTTATGTGAAATGAAATGGTGACAAACCAGAAAAATAATAATAATCGATTGGCATGGCCTTTTGTCGACTGAAAATGAAACCAGGGCTGTTCTGAGTGATTCCTTCCACCCAGTAATGAACAGCTTCTCCCAATCGGCGTGGTTTCTTTTTCATTCATAAGGGGGTCACTGAATGCTTTTGAGTACGCATGTGATTACAGTCACATGCTCTGACCTTTGCAAATCACTAGATCGCAACTGAAGTCAACACCCGTTGGACCCAGGTGTTGGTGTTCACCACCACTATTATCAAAACACCAGATGAAGGAAAGTGTCCCTCAAGTACACTTTCAAATACTTAGAGAATCAGTGCCGAGAAGCATGGAGGTCCAACTCCTTAATAAGATGCTTTATGCTGTTTTTCTTCTTTAATTTTCACTTTATAGCTTACTTAAAGCGCCAAATATATTATTGATACTCACTTGACAGTTTTTGGGGTTGGTGCGGCGGTTAGCACTGTTGCCTCACGGCAACAAGGTCTTGGTTTCAAGTCAACCCTTGGGCCTCTCTGTGTGGGCTCTCTCTGGGTACTCAGTCTTGCTCCAAACAGTCCGGACAGGTGTATGTCAGCTTACTTGGTTACTAAATCACCTGTATGCGTGAACGGTTTTCTGTCTCTGAATTAGCCTTGCAGTAGATTGACAGTTTCTCCAGGGTGTGTCCTGCCCCCTGCCCTGTGACAGCCAGGAAAGACTCCAGTCCCATCTGCAGCCCAGAATTGGATAAGTGGAAGATGTTGGCATGTTATGTTTTGTTTTTAAATTAATTAACATATTTCCAGCATGGTGATAAAACAAAAACTGAAACTAAATCAACACATCATTCAGTCATTAACATAAGATTTTAAAGTCGCACACGTGGAACCCTTTCTCATTTATTGGGGGAAAAAAAAGAGTTCATATTATATGGCAAAACCACTCCAAAAACATGTCACTGTTTATCTGTGCGATTCAGTGGTGGTAGGGTAATGTTCTAAAGACGTGCAGCATGTTCTTTTTTTCCTGTACCATCAGTTAATGATTCCAGATGTTTCCAACATTGTATTCCCCAAATCCAGTCTTACTGCCACAACTGTGATTTTTTTTTTTTTCCTTTTCCTTCCCCACACTGAAAAATGTGAAGCTCCTCTAAGGAATATAAAAATAGTTTTTATAATTTTTCATCAATGGACTCAATGATCAGCACAACCTGAAAGCGACGTCCTGGTATATTAAGAGTGCTGTGATTTCCACAAAGCAAACATTATATCACATTTTACATCTGTTTACTATCAGAAGCCTATCCCAGCAGCACCCACTGGGTAAGAGGCAGGACAGGTCATCTGCCTGTCAGAGAAACCTCTCAAATGCAATCGCATGGAAAAAAAAAATGACGCGCTTGCTAACTTTAGAGTCTAGATTGAAGTGGAACTCGCAGAAGGAAAAGTCAATTGTCGTTGAAGACACTGCTGTAATCAAGCACAGGTCACCTGTCAGAGATGAGGAAGCCTGAATGAGTCCGCAGGAAGTGCCATATTCTTTAGAACAAGAGCACTCAATAAAGACGCTGCTTACATTTGCATAAATCAATTTAGTACAGACACTGTTATTTTTTAAGTAGTTTCTTCGTCCTTGCATTCTGCATGCCACTTTACATGAACCTTTTTGCTTTATTTTATCTACATGATCTGTATTAAAAGGCCAGTGTTGGGGATAATGTATATATATGTAGAGGGTTTGTTTTGCTGCTAAACTTGCCCAAACTTTACAGGCTATATGTGGAAAATGTAAGTGAGGTACAGAAAAAAGGGGGCTGCTGTGAATTTTGTCTGTGGTCCAAGTTGAGGATAATTACAGTTGGAGTGAGTTTCAGCCCTAATTGTAGGTTTTCTGCCATTTTTGTTGTGTAAAATCACAGCCGCTGTTCATTTCCACACGTTACATCTGCTTTTGTTTTAAATCATACTTCTAATACTTGCGTGTTGAGATATTCGGAGGCAACGTGTTTGGAGTTGTCCATATGGCCTCCTGCCATCTGTTTTGTGTGTATTTGACAGTTACAGTGTTGAATGTGTCACCTGACGTTTGTAGTCAACCATTAAGAATTAACAAATACACCGGCTCAGTCAGACGTGAGCTTTGACAGCATGTTGACGTTTGAACCTGGCGCTGCTTAGTTACCTGAAACCAGAAACGTCTGCAAAAGAATGCACAACTGTAGCTTTGTTTTCGAGAATCTCCGCTTGGGTTTAAGTGAATTCGAGACCCTGGGAGACTCCTGACCGCCTTGAGGAAAGTGGTGTTTTCTGCATCCCGGATATGTGGTCTTTCTCGCTTCCTGCTACAAGAGAAACGTCATTGGGACTGAGCGTGCATGTGTCTGTTCTTCATGCTTTGTTTAGGAATCACAGCCAGAAAACACCCGTGCGTTTCATTCTTTCTCCCCCCCCACCCCACGCTTGCCTGGCCAGCCTCACGTGTCCATCTTGCAGTCCTCTCTCTTCGGGTCCCCTCCAACCAGAACTCTCTCCTCCCTGGGCACATGGAGCGTGTGCAGACTACACCGGTCTTCTGGTGCTGGCACAAAATGCTGTGGCCTGTCTCCCAGCTATAAAAACCTTCCCCCTCTTGCTTTGTGCCACCTCCTGTAGTTTTCTGGGTCAGGGGGGAGCATTCCCCAGCATTGCTCCCGTCACCACAGAAAAGTTCTTAAAGCTACTATACAGAGCTCTTTTTACATTCTGTGTGATGCACAGAGCCAAATCGTTATCCGATGTTTCATGTGACAACACGAACGAGGAAAGGAGACGGCAGCTTAAGCATCTCGAGCATTTCTGCCTACTTGTCTAATGCAGAGGAAACTGTGCATGTATGTTAAATAAGTCTTTGGCTGCTCTATAAAATCATTTACAGCCACCACAACCGATCTGAACAGCAGCAAATTCAATTCCACTCTTTCAAGCTCTTTGTTTATACTTGCGAGCTTTACTTAACTGTGCCGGTGATGTTGCCAAAATACATTCATGAATCCCGACAGCTTACGGCTGCTTCCTACAACACTGAAAGCATATTAAAAGCTTGTGATAAAGCCAGGTTTTGCAGTAGTTCACCTGAACTCTAAAAACCACTCTTCCATACGCTTACATTTCCGCCCTTTTGCCAAGAGTAAGACTTTTACTGTTGTTAACAAATAAATTGTACAGATAAAAGTTTTGCTGGGATTTTGTGGGGATGGTGCAGTGGAGGGACGGCACAGCAAGAAGATCCTGGGTCTGAAATTAGTCTGTCACCTTTCTCTGCGGACTTTCTGTGTTCTTCCTGTGTCAGCTTTAATGATGGATGATTACTTACATTGTGGGCTGTGGGGAAAAAACTGTATGGCGTTAGGTTAACTGGTGATTATAAACTGGCTGTAGGTGTGAATCTGGGTGT